TAACAGCCAACGGTGAAATTGTCATATCAACTCAATGGCTAACCAAATATGGATTTTTCACATTCATATTAGCAAAATGACATCAAAGAGACAATATGAAAAAAATTTGGACGTGTTTGCGCCATATTACTATGACAACGAGAATCATATTGACTCACTGACGCCATTGATATGACGATGACGACGGCTGCCAAAGTATTAACGAACTGTTTTTTTCTTAATACAAATAAAATACAAATGGCTTCTTCAGTTTGTTTTGAAGTTTTTAAATAAATAATAAAACAATTATTGCATGAGGGGTTGAGCATGATATGAAGAATTATCAAGCTCGAAGTTTGCCGTTATCAACCGAAGCCGAAGGCTGAGATTGATAACGGCAAATTGAGGGCTTGATAATTCTTCATATTGTGCGAAAACCGAATTAACCCGTTAATTAATGGACACTTTCCTCACATGTTTACAGACTTTACAAAGCTGCCACCATTAACGATTTGAACTCTCCAGAAGGCAATTAATAATGAAAAATTGGGCTTCAATCTTCAATCGGATTATAGTAATTTTGTCATGTATATAATATAAATTAAACTTAATTGATAGGTTAATAAGATACAAAGGGAAGGCATTAATTGTACAGTTTATGCGAGACTTTTTATTCATTGGTTTACGGATCCGCCGACTCATAGGCGTACGGGAAGGAAAAAATTAGGGTGGGCGGAAAGAAATTTGCCCGCCTTTTTCGGATTGTGCCCGAGTTGTCAAAAAAATTTTCTGGAGAAACTTTCCAAAATTGTTGTTGACGGGGAGGAGTGATTACGAAAAATTCCTATTAGATAGCATACTGTATTTCCCAAAAAATTGACAGAATTTCCCACAAAATTGATAGAATTTGTCCCATTTATTTTTATAATAAGCAAATATTGCCTGACTGTGAAGCAAATATTGGCCAACTGGCTTTGTTTGCCCTTTGTTTGCCGCCACCTCCACCACCCCCCCGCCCGGTACGCCCATGCGCCGACTGTAAATTATCAGAAAGTGAAAAATAAATAAAAATTGGATGTCTCAACAATTTTACGATTTTAGTTAATTTGGGGTTCAGACATGAAGTACACACCGAGTAAAATCCGACTCTAAATACTGCTGCCTCATGTTATCGTTGTGACAATCTTGAAAAACAATGTTTCTTTTAACTTTCTTCTGACCTACCGACCTGGGTTTTTTTAAAGTCAAATCCATAAACCGACAAATAAAAAAGTCTCGCCTTACTTAATTTATACATGTATAAATATTAAAACACCTTTGATTGTAACAACTATGCATTGACTTTCAGTACAAACTGGAATCATTGTGCCAATGGACAGGCATGAAGGGCAATGGCCAACACTTGGGGGGAAAGCGTTCTGCAAATAAAAAAAAATACAATACATGCACAATTTAACCCCATTGACAAGTAAAATTGTCTGGCATTAGACAAGTAAAAAATAAGTAGGGCGCATTGCGGCTCAGTGGGTTAATTAGAGACATTGTCGGATTTTTTGGTTAACCCTTTAAGCTGCAGAGCTTCCCCATTGACGAGTAAAATCGCCTGACTTTAGGTAGCCTGTGAACAGGCTGTCAAGGTGAAATGAGAGCCTGCACTGATGATATACAATTTTGAATATCTGCCCCATAACATTCGTTTTTCCAAATATGGAATGTCTATCCTTATATGATGTTGTTTACAACTTTTGTGCAAACTAAATTTAGACTGTGCAAACTAAATTTAGACCGTACAGTTTATACTGTTTTTCAAAATATAAGATATTCAAGCAAAAGTTTAAATGTTTTAAATACTGTTTTCTCAAAACAGAACATTTCGTGCTTTGAGATAAGATGGCCAACACCAATTTGATCAGTTAATGTGTTTTTTATGCATAGTGCTTCTGCAGTTGACATATATAGAGCTCAGCGGAAACATATAAATTATAGCATCTGACCAATGAGAATTTTGCGTCACGATTTGAGACGCAGATATTCAAATTCATTACTCATCTATGCAGGCTCTCATTTCACCTTGAGAGCCTGTTCGCAGGCTAGACTTTAGGCAAGTAAAAAGGTAAAAAATAAGTAGGGTGCACTCACAGATCTAGAAATACTTAGGGCACACTGGGGTGCATTGCGGCTCAATGGTTAAGCAGCATTGTGATTTAATTTACTCATCAATCTGATTTAAATATCAACTGCCTTAATTAAAGGGAATCTACAGTCGTTTTTATTTATCTATGCCACCTTTAAATAAAAAGTTAGAGGACTCCACCAGAAGTTCTTATGACAGTATCTCACATGTAGTACTGTGAAAATAATTATGAACGTCTGGTAAAACAATGAAATGGAACAAAAAGTGTAAACAAAGGTTAAGCTGGCACAGCCAAACAAAAATGACTGTAGATTCCCTTTAATCCGCCATAATAAAGAAATTGGCGGCTGTTGATCTACCTACAGCAGATTGTGATCGGAAATGATTTGAAACAGCTTACATTAAAAAGTTTTTTACTTAATGACACACAATTAAAGCTTCATGTCATTGTCTGTTTTTCTTGTCACTCTTTCTGACTGATTTATGCTTGCTGCCGCAAAAGGATTGTAGGTAGACAAACATGCCGCCATTTTATTATAGCAAATTGGCTATCAAAGGCATGAGCCGTAAATATGCAAAAATGTCAGTACGAGAAATTATTAATTGTAAATTTAAATAAAACTATGTACAGTACCAGGTAAAGTACATGTACATGAAATTTAATCGCATAATTTTGAATAATAGAAGGCAACACAAAATAATCAACCATACTCACTAAAAGTTTGAAGTTTACCATCAACACTTAATGATTGTCTAGGTGAAAGTGCTTTACAGTAACCATGATAAATTCCATCTCTATCATGAAGTGGGAACTTTTGGTGCACTTCCTCATCACAAGATAAACATAAGTGTTTTGAATCAGTACATTCCCCACAATATATTCTGGTTTCTTGGCTGAAACATTTAGAACAAACACTTGGGATAACTGCTGCACAAGATAAAAGAGTCTCAAATATTTTTTGCCGAGATGATTCCCAATTAGAATTTAAATTAGTCATCCTCTTGTCCCAGTTAAACTTATTTTGTTGCTGATTACTGAATCTTCATCAAGCAATTTTTCACATTCCCCAATTAGGATGGTGAGGTTATCATCATCTAAAGAAAAAGTAACAATATACACATTTTTGTATGTAGAAGCAATGGTGCAGAATAACTTTTATATACCTTACAAGACAGCACAAATCTTAATTTAACACATGTTTCTCAACTTACATTTAACTCAATATTGAAAAATATTGTGTGAGCATTGTATAGCCATAGAGTACTTAGTCTACTAACCTTGAGTCTCAAACTGATCATCATTAATAAAGTGATCAACTTCAGGCACCAAATCATCAGATGTGAATACATCTAGTATAAACAATAAAAAATATTCAAATACTTAGTTTACACAGCACATACTATATGGCTTTAGTAGTGGCCATTTAATTTTGGGTTGAGGATTTGAAGAAAGCAGTTTGGTTTATTAAAATAAAGCACTCATTTTATATACTTGTGGGACATACGGTACATATTACACAATGCAAACAAATGGCATGCACAATTATAAATTAAAATAGCACTAAAACAAAGCAACTGGGAATAAGATCAGTCCTGAGTGGATTGGCCCATACTTAATTTACCGGGTAATCTGAGAAAGCCAGAAAGGGAGCACTTACAGGCATGACCTTCCCCCACCCCATCACAACCTCCCTGCCAAAAATGAAAAAGAAATATTTTTTGAGGGCTCTGATATGAAGAGGCATTAAACAGAGCATAAAGGTTTGCCAAAGAGTACATTAGAAATAAACACATCTAGGCTTTATTAATTGTCAAACAATTATGAGAACAAAACAACTGTAATCATTATGGCAAATGCTAGGAAATTTTATACTGGTAAACCAGGTATATGTCTAAAGGTACATACATCTTCCATTTTACCATCTTCCATGTAGCTTTGTTTTGTATATAATACCAGTTGTTTTGTATATAATACCAGTTAATTAAGTATGCTAGCATTGGATAAATAGCCATGTAGTTGCTCATAAAGTATACTTTCAAAGGCCTTGCTGATAGCTGGAAGGATAGAGATTGGGCGATAATTATCCAACAAATTTTTGGGACCTTTCTTATGAAGAGGTATAACCTTGGCTACCTTCCAATCGCGAGGAAAGACCCCATTCTGAATTACATAATTAAATAATTTAGTCATAGATGGCGCTATAATGGCTATAGAAAGTTTCAATACTTTTATTGGAATTTTATCAACTCCGATTGCCTTAGAGGAGGATAAAGCATGAAATGAATGTAAAACTTTATCAACAGATACAGTATCAAACTCAATAGTCGTGCATGATTTACTTATGTATGAACTAAAGTCAGTATTTCCAGAATCAACGGAATTTGCAATTTTGTCTCCGATAGTAGAAAAATATTCATTGAAAGTCTCAGCTATTTCATTAGAACCAGAAATAATATTATCATTTTGTCTAATGCTAGATATAGAGGATTTATTATGGCCTCGCCCAAGGATTCGATTTATAGTTTGCCAACTTTCTTTCGGATTGTGTTTGTATTTATAAAGCAAATTACTATAATATAATTGCTTATCCTTTTGTAAAGTGCATGAAACAACGTTTCTGGCCGTCTTGTATGCATTCCAATCTAAAGTGGAATTGGATTTTATTGCCTTCAATTTAAGTTTATCCTTTTCAAACATTAATTTTTTAGAATTTTTATTCAACCAAGGGATATTACTTCGGGTTCTTACTCTTTTCATCCTAAGAGGGGCATGCACATCAAGAACTGCCAGAAACAAAGTTTTCCACAAACACCATTTAGAGTCTACGTCATCCTCACTGTCTAAAAGATCCCATGGCTGAGATAAGAGATCTTCTTGAAATCTGCTGGGATTGAAATGTTTAAAATTTCTAATTTCAACAGTCTGATGGGCTCTCACCCTTTTTTGCACATTAATTTTGCGAACAACAAGTATTAAGTTGTGATCGCTAATTCCGATTGGAAATACATCCGAATATATAATTTTCTCAGGGAGTGAGGAGATACAGACATCCAATAAGGAGCTTGTGGTTTGAGTTACACGAGTAGGTTTAACGATTAATTGGGAAAGTTGATAGACATTCAAAAAGTCATTTAGTTTTTTGGATGCCGAATTCAACGAATCTAACATATTGCAGTTTAAGTCACCAACCACAATAATTTCTTTACCTTCACTATCAAGTTTATGAATAAAGGATTCTATCATAGAAAAATACTGAGAGCTTGCACTAGGAGATCTATATATATACTAGCAACAATGAATGGTTGACTGTTTGGTTTGTGAATTTCAACACAGACTGCTTCAAGAGTAGCAGGGATTGAATCATTTCGATTAAGATAGTTTAAATTACTTCTAATATATAGGCAAACACCACCACCTTGCCTATTCCGATCAGTACGAATCAGGTCATAATTATGAACAGACATCAAATCATCAGACAACATATCATCTAGCCTAGTCTCATTCAAAGCAAGAATATCAAGATCTTGCTTAGCTAATAGAATTCTAATCTCATCAATATATTTCGGCAGGCTGACAATGTTTAGCATGGCTACCTTAAAGTCCCTAATTTTAGGAAAGCCAGACTCAAGTATACTTATTGGATTGCAACTAGCCCAAATCGAATATCATATATAATTAGAAAAGTTACTGCTAAGATAGCTCGTTCCTTTCCGATTTAGATGTAAACCTTTAAGGTTTAGACAGCTTTCATTTAGATTTGAATTATCACTTTATTGATAATGACAGTTATTAGCCACGCAAGTTGATTTCAACAACTTGTTTACAGACTTTATCTTCGATTTTAAATTTAGGCCCTTTCTAACTATTAAACCAGAGATAGTCACTTTAGTATTAGGTGATTTCTTGGTTATCATTGATGCTAATCTAGAAATACCTGTAGCGAGAACTTCAGGCGAGTCATTTCCTTTGATATTGTTTGTGCCAATATGGAGAATTATTTCATCGGGTGACCTTCGTATAATAGGTTGCAGAAAATCATTCATGTCATCAATTTTAAAACCAGAAAACGACTTAACGACAACGCTGACTTCTGTATTTGACATTTCCCAACCATGCACATGTTGAATCATTGAGTCGCCCGCGATAATAACAGTTTTTCTATCCTTTTGTCTTAGTTCGTTCTTTCTCGGTCTACTCATACTTATGTATGTCCGTAATAATTAGGTCCCACACGGCATTACCCCTGGTAGGTGTTTTTACTATCTGTTTTATGTGGCATTGGCGTGTGATTGTTCCAGACCTCTCAACTTTGCAGAGACATTAAGAGTGAGATTGGGGATGACACCTTTGTATAAAAAGTCCGGGGGTCTGAAATATTGGCATTTCGTGCATTATGAGAGTTGGTGTTTTTTAATGAAAAATACCGCATTGCTTCATAACGTCCTTTAAGACAAGGCACTTTAGTTACAATAACTGTATTTCTGCGACTGATACAGTAATGAGCTTTAATTTGCCTTTGATAATTTACATATTGAATTCTGCTCCAACTGATTCTGCCTTTTTTCCGCCGTATTTACATATGCGTACTATTTTGTATCCAAATTGCGGGCAAAATGTCGGGCCGTATATGCAGGAACAATAACACGCGATTATATGTTCGATTCGCGATCCGTATAACGATTATAATAATGTGCATTTAAGAATACAATATTATATTATTGAAAAAATACTATGAAATTGCTATATGCGCGAGATTTACTGAACGTGGCGTGAGAGCGTGAGAGTGAAGCGAATTGCGTGAGACTCACGCCGAATGTGTGAGAGTTGAGAGGTCTGTTGTTCTTATATTAACCCATTACTATCAGGATTGAAATCGCCAGCTGCAATAATTGCTGTGCTTGGGCTTTCCGATTTCAATTTATCATAATGGTAGCAAAAATAGTCACAGAAGCTATTTACCGTCTCCATGTTTACAGATGGAGGAATGTACATGCACGCAATTGCAATTCTAGAAATTGATCTTGGAAGCCAGACAGGGCGTAATACAATCCAAACACACTCGTATTGATCATTTGACAAGTCGAGTTGAAGTTTGTAAGTTATACTTTCTCGTATATACACTTGCACTCCACCACCCCTTCCAACAGGTCTATCTTTTCTGACCAATGTAAATTTCGGAATATTGACGACTTCATCAGGTACGACATCAGATAACCAAGTTTCTGTGATCATGATTACATCAGGGCTCCACTGACTGATAATGACCTCAAGTTCCTCTTTTTTATTAAGGATTGATTTAGCGTTTAGTAATAAAAAAATTGGTAAAGAACAGTCAAGAGCAACGTTTGTAGTTTTCGTAATTGGAATATTAATTAAGTTGTGGCTCCTACTTTGTCGGATGGCTAGTCGATTAGAGGATATACTGGTCGTTTCCGAAAACCCCAAGTATTATATCGCTTTGACTTTGCTCTAGTTCCTTGTGGGAAACGAGTGGTTATTCTATTTTATGTAGTTGTTTTTGTACAGTACTTAGTACAGTACTTAGTTGTTCTTGCAAGTCCTGTTCATGATACATTGATAATTCATTTTACTCCAAAAGCAGCATTCAATAACACCCATCCTCACTATTTATTTGTAATTCAAAGTCACTAACATTTTCTTCGTTGCTATCACTGGAATTGTCGTCATTGTTGTCTTCATCCTCTTCATCATCGTCTTCATCCTCTAATTCAACATGAGTGTACGGAGATTGAAATAGTTTCTTTTTGTGATCAGTCAACCATTTGTTGAGCATGACAATGTTCAGTTTTTCCAATGGAGACTTTGCTATTCCATTAAATGATATGTATTCCCTTCCAGGTTGATATGTAAATGGTTTGATTTTACAAATGATTTCTATCATTTCTCTTTCATCTGCCTGCTTGTCTGCATACGTATGAGCTGTGGAATCTGTTGGTATATTAGACTGTCTATCAAAGTTATTCACAATCTGATGTAATCCGTAAGCGGCTGATGAACTTCTTTGTACCGCTTTTAATGTTTTGTTTGCACATAATCCCTTCAAAATGTCCTTGTTGTTCCTCACAATCTGCTCCATTTTCAGGTCGTTTGCATAGTTGTTTCCTGCTCCGCCTTTGTGGTTGACAAACTGTCCATGAATAACTCGATGGGCAACTCTTGCGGTATACAACACTTTTGTCATAGTTATGAACCGCATAGCTTCGAACGCATATTTCATTCCTCTCGACCTACATCTAAAATACAACATAAGTAATTTCCAGTTAAGTAAACTTCTGTTGCCATCTCCTTCCTTTTCTTTGTCGTTTAGATTCATTAACAGAAATCCTAACTGCAAAACTTGTAAGCTATAATTCATAACACCATCGCGTTTAGATATTGGTGGAATGTCACTTTGAGGGGTTGGAATAATGTTGGGTTGGCGAACAGCTAACATACTGCTGGGCCACATTACAATCTGATCTACCTTTATCTCATTCGAATTCAACACTGCCGTTATTTTTACTGATGTTTTATCTTGCATTGCGACAACGTTCCCGTCAGGTAACACCAACTTGATGACTTTACCCTGTGCAATACCAGCGTGTGTACCATCCTTGTTTTGTACAAGTACCACGTCTGTTCCTATACAATATAGTTTTATTGTATACTAATTTAATGTTGGTTAGTGGCGCCGCCAGTTCGATAATTTGGGGGGGGGGGCGAATATTCATATATTTGTGTTCGCAGACCACAAAAACAATCGATTTCAAAAGAAGTTAATAATGCAGAACACGAAGATATGAATATTGCCCCCCCCCCAATTATCGAGCTGACGGCGCCACTGCTGTTGGTATGTATAGGTTACTTATATTTTATGAATAGGTTATCATATGAGTATAGGTTATCATAGTTTATGAATAGGTTAGCACATGAGAGGCAAAGCAATATCAGTTTTATCGCTTGATAAATGTCACGAGTAAGCGCAGTGAATGAGGGACATTCATGATATCGTCCTGAAAGCATAAAACTTATATCCCACCAATTAGGATAACCTGTTTATTATATACTCATGCCTTCATCAGGGTCAGAATTTATTAGAATATTAATCATTGTCCCAATGTAACAATTATTAAAATAGCGGGACAGAAAGCGATATCAGTGACAAAAAAATGATATCAGTGACATATATACTAAAACTGTCTGTACCTGTATCGTTTTTATATCACCCTGTTATCTCCCTGATAAACGCACAGGTATCATGCCTTGATAATTCTTCATATCATACAAAACCGAATTCAATAATTGTTTTATTATTTATTTAAAAGAAAAATAGCAGTCGGTGGTGGGAATCCATTGTGTTTTGACACAATTCCTCACTCCTGTGGAAGTCTAAGCTCTGGATGTCATGAGCTCTAAGCTCTTGTGGTAAATGTATTTAAATAATGTTTAATTAAATAAAAAAGTCGCAATATCAGGATTTTAGGCATCTACACTCGATATAATTAATCATAGAAGGGTTTTGTAGATGGAAATTTAGATTTTAGAGTGTGAATTTTATATATTATTGGACATATTGTAATTCATCTATACTGCATGTAACATGCACAACCCGATCTCTATCGAGCTCCCAGCAGTGTGTAAGAAAGCATTTTCTGCTTCTTTCGTACCTCAGCCAGCGGAAAATAACACATCGTCTAATATCTCTGATACCTTAGCCTTCTTTGAAAACATTGCCTCTGTTGCATAAAATGTGTAACGCCTGTATTCTAAAAGCTCACTCACACTCAAAGAGTGGAGGTTCAATCTGAGCTTCCCTTGAGTGCCAGTGCAGTTTTTGAATAGCTGAAGGGTTAGTGTCGTACCTTACTATACGACTACTCACTCTCCAGCTATTCAAAAACTGCACTAACACTCAAGGGATGTTCAGATTGAACCTCCACCTTTTGAGTGTGAGTGATCTTTTTTAATACGGGCGTAATTATCTTTCGTTGCATCGTTCTGGGTTCCATATTTTACAATAGATCTCCATACATTAGTAAAACAAACATTACCGCTCGTTAAGCTTTACATGTTTTGCTAACCTGGTTCAATGGTGATTATCTTGTCTGGTACTCCTTGGTCTTCTTGACGTTCTGTTTTCTTCTTAGTTTGCTCTGATTCTCTCAATATCCTTTCTCTGTCAAATTCGAACATCACAAATTCTTCGACAAACGCTCTAACTTTCTCATCTAGAAATTGTTGCCATTCTGTTTCAGATGCATCTTTAGCTGGCACGTCCACTTTCGTCGGGTTGGCATTGAGTGTTTCCATCCCAGACCATTCCATGAACGCGGCACACAGGTTAGCTTTTGTCAAAGATAACATCAAAGATTCTGCTGCCTTGTAATTCTTCTTAACGTCGGATTTCACGTTGTTCATACCAAAGTGTTGCCTCATGTAGTACAACATACCAACCTCTCTGCCACACGCAGATGTACCTACCTTTGTACAGTTGCTCCCATATATACTTAAAATACATGTAAAATATCTTAAATTAGTGAAACAAAATAGGGAAACAAAACGCAACATTGTGCAACGGTTTTTACAAGCAAATAATCATGCATTGATATATCGATTTGAAATTATTGACGTAATTCTTAATTTCAGTGAGGTTGGGGAGGAAATTCCTCATCTTTGCTTTAATATAGGAAAAAATTTAATTTCCACCATTGTTTGACATCGCTTCCCAGCTTTCACATGCATGACACAGTAAATCAATGAACAATAAGTTTGTATGATAGTACAACGAATGACCCGAAACATCGCTGATAAATTAGATGTTGGCGTTTTATTAACAATTGATACATTAGTTCAGATAATATGTACCATAATAATAAATTTATAGCATGGAATTTTGAATTTGTAACTTGTATTTGTTAAATTTGTATATTTTGATGAGCAAAATAAATCTTTTTCTATTGATGTGCTTCTGTATACTTACCCTGAGAAATGACTGCTTCAGATGCCATAATGTCGGACATTCTAGAATGTTGTCAAACCTGCAAGATCCAATGATTTACAATTATTTACGTTATAAAAAAGCACCTTGTTTCTTGCAATTTGATTGGCTACCACGTCATAAAGTTTGAAAGTTCATTCCTAATTGCTAAAATAACGAACAAGTAGTGTACCGTTTATTGCATGCGCTCTTGTCTAAATGGCCTCGTTTCCATGCGGTTGTTTCCGCGTATTTTGCGCATAATTTAGGTTAGGTTTGTTGGTAGTTTAAAGAATACTCTTATGATTTAGCTCAATATCAAAGAGAAACATATTCGTGCACAAGACATGGGAATATAACATTAATGTGACCAGCCATGCTAAACAGGCAAACATGCACGGCAATGATGTCATTGGAGCCGAGCAAAAGTGGAATAAACAGAAAGTCTATTCCTACTTCTGTATAGCACATTAAAATTTATATTAAAAAAATTTAAAGATGTTTACCACAATTGCATACCTTTCACTGGGCAAGTCACATCCCATCCTCGTCTTTTTGGCACCAGTTATTCTCTCTCGCCCAAGTTGATCTCCACATAGTGGCACAGACACATCTTTCCCTGCTTCGGCTTCGGGCAATTCATTGTGTATATCTTTTATTAACTTCTGTACATACTCAAGATATTGGCATACGTCTGAATGTTTGCTTTGATTATATGGGACTATTGACAAGTTGATTATGATTGATTTTTCCTTCATTTCCTCGGAATACCTTTTAAAATCAATACACTAAAATTTACCATTGGGAATTTATATGAGAAAATTTGCTTGCCATGCACTTGATATAAGTAAGCGTTTATTCCGGTTCCAATCTTCCCCCTCTATAAACTCCTGCAAAACAGGCCATACAGGTAACTTACAGTGTATCCACATGTACTGTTGGCCGAGTTTGAATAAAACAATGTATCTACCTGTATTTATACATTGTATACAATATTCCATGTACAAACTATACAATATGTCGTATATACAATAAAAACAAATTAATTATGTACAACACTTACTCATGTTTTATATTTCTGGGAACAACTTTGGCCATTGGATACAGGCACGGCACAAATTGAACAAGAACCCTTGCAGCTAACATGGTATAATGATCGGGAATCTCTTTCAGTTCTTCCTTACTCAACAAGTAATTCCCTGCATTATCAAACGATGATTTGTTGGGGACTAAAGGACTTTGATCATCAAGATTGTCACTCTTCACACGATCAAACGTAACATAATGTCCAATCCAATGCATATCACTGTTACGGTGATTTTTTAAGATGATATTGGCAAGAATTATAAAGTCCAAGTTGTCAAAAACAATATGAAGGGGTTGGCCTTTCATCAATTGCTTCCTTATCACTCCAACTAGATCTTTACCAACGTCATCTACTATATTATTATGTTCTGTGCGGGTATGAGTAATGTTCATTTTTGAAAATCGTTCGAATGTCTATAGAATGGAATTGAAAATGTGGTTTAGAAAGGACAAAATAAAGCTTTGATTAAAATAGCATCAAATATTATGATGACCAAGGTAGTCCAAGTACCTCGGTAGAACAAGGTAACCGTTTTGTATATTCCCGTTAATATTACAAAATATCAGATAAATATAGAACTTTGCATGGCTACTAAGCATATGAACAACTGATGCAAACTTGGGATGTACCAATCGGAAATTATCCTGAAGGTTTATTTCCTTCACGTGCATATGTACATACAATTATGGCACCATTTTCGTGCAAGGATTTTAGATCATATTTTCTACATGCACTGTTCATTTGCAAGAATTTATTCAGTACGTTAACATCTCTGCTAACTAATAATTTAAAATATCAAAACCTTGGCGAAGAAGTGAAAATTAAAAAAAACTGCGTTTCTACAATAGCGTGTTGTAAGGACTGTTAATTTGTAGTAAAACGGACATTCCTGTTACACATAGATTTGTAACCAACTCATTTGTGAAATGTAATAAATAATTATTTACTGACAGGGGAGTGCTGTCCTAGACATATATACTCGATGTGGTCAGTCTGGTTATCATTTGCGGTCCAGGGTAATCTGCTATATACCAATATATAGTTGTTCACCAATCGAAATGTGTAGGTATAAATGTCGACGACCTGACAGATCCTCTCTCCTCCGCAGAGGCTTTTAAAGAATATGAAATTCGAAGGAATTGAAATTGCGCTAGAATGTATCTGGTATGAAAACAACCGCTGAGAATCGGCGCACGGGCGAGGGGAGGAAAGGAAAAAATAGCGGAAGCCTCTGCCCGATTTCTGTTCCAATATGGCGTTAAACCGGGGGGAGTGCAGATTCTCGAGCAGTTTGGCAAAATGGCTCAGTTGCGTATGAATTATGCATGTCCACAAAGGCAATTTATTTTGGCTTTGCAGAGCGGGAAAACGTGTTGTTCTGTCTGTGGTTCACAAACAACAGACATATTTAGTCAAGTAGGCCTTCAACAGCATTACCGAATTAGACACAGAGGCACAGAATTCAATGATAATGCGCTGAAAGACGGAGTGAAATGTTTGAGAAAATTTGCTGCAAATGAAACCAAGGAAAACTTGATAGCCCTTTCAGAACAGAGAAAAAATTCGGTAGGTAAAATTTTGAAAATCGTTCGAATGTCTATAGAATGGAATTGAAAATGTGGTTTAGAAAGGACAAAATAAAGCTTTGATTAAAATAGCATCAAATATTATGATGACCAAGGTAGTCCAAGTACCTTGGTAGAACAAGGTAACCGTTTTGTATATTCCCGTTAATATTACAAAATATCAGATAAATATAGAACTTTGCATGGCTACTAAGCATATGAACAACTGATGCAAACTTGGGATGTACCAATCAGAAATTATCCTGAAGGTTTATTTCCTTCACGTGCATATGTACATACAATTATGGCACCATTTTCGTGCAAGGATTTTAGATCATATTTTCTACATGCACTGTTCATTTGCAAGAATTTATTCAGTACGTTAACATCTCTGCTAACTAATAATTTAAAATATCAAAACCTTGGCGAAGAAGTGAAAATTAAAAAAAAGTGCGTTTCTACAATAGCGTGTTGTAAGGACTGTTAATTTGTAGTAAAACGGACATTCCTGTTACACATAGATTTGTAACCAACTCATTTGTGAAATGTAATAAATAATTATTTACTGACAGGGGAGTGCTGTCCTAGACATATATAC